ATATATATCCGTCCTTCCTTCCTTATGGGTTTATTTCTCATTTTAGGAAATTATATTTGAAGAATAGTGAAAAATGTGTCAAATTAAAATGTTTTTATCCACAAGCAGTTGTTTCCTGCAGGTCATCCAGACAAACAGAAAGAAGCAGATATGAAGCACAGAGCCCTGGCTGCAAAGGCAGGCGGAATGAACGACTTCGTCACACTGCTTTGTGTGTTTCAGTTGTGTAAATCCAGGTGAAGAAAGTAAAATAAATACTGTAAAGTATCAATTCATGGCTTGTATTAATGCCTTTCTCTCTGCAGTGATCGACCATCAGCTTGGTGTAAGGAGAACTGGATCCACTGGAGGGCGCTGAAGTCAGCTTTTAGTGTGGAGACTCAGTTGAGAGAAATCCTCCTCCGCCTCCAGCAGGTACCTCTTGCTGCCCATTAACTGTCTAATATTACAGCTGTAATGCTCAGTTAAGTGTTTCTCTTGCCTGCTTGTCCTCCAGAGGAGAGATTTCCCTGTTGAAACATTTGATGGAAATAAAAGTGAGCTCCTCAGACGATGCCTTTGCACAGGATATTTCACCAATGTTGCCAGAAGGTATTGGTTATATTCATTTGAAATCCTGCAACTCAGAACCCTTTAATGTTATTAAATATACATTATTGAGGGATTCCTTTTTTTTTTCATGTCCAGATCTGTTGGGAAGGTGTTTTGCACAATGGATGGCCATGGATCTATGGTTCACATTCATCCAGCATCATGTGTAAGCTCACGTGCAGAAAATCCCCACATCTTCTCTGAAACTCCTCTGAGCTCGTTGRGTTGTGTTTTTCAGCTGTTTGAGCAAGAGGCAGAGCTGAACTGGGTCATCTTCCACGATGTGCTGGTCACCTCGCGGATCTACATCAGGACGGTGTGTCCGATCAGATACGAGTGGGTGAAGGATTTGTTGCCTAAACTCCATGAAGTGGACGTTTATGAGCTGAGCAGCGTAGCAAGACAAGAAGTTACAGAGGAGGAGATGATGAAATGGGAGACCAGAGAAGCTGCAAAAAGGAAACAAGGTGTTAAAAAAAATAATAAACTAGATATTTAATTAGAAAGAAATATCTCCATCTACTGCCTGGTTATATCCTCATTTTATATCTTATGCTTTATATTAGGGTTTGCTCAGTTATTATACACAAACATGAGGTATTTTTAATTAGTTATACCACATGCTAATAAATTATAAAACAATGTCATACTTATAGTTTACTTTAAAGCCAAACATTTACATTGCATTTACAAACAGCAAATGATAAAAACAGTATTTGACATTAAGTTTTAATAAAAATTTAAAGGTCTAGCATTCCTTGAAGGAATTCGTAGTTGTTTTGATCAAACCTTGAAAATAACTGATTGTCAGATTTTTGTAAAATTCCCAACTTTCCACTGCATGAAATGTTCAATGTCCTATAAAATTATTTGAATTATAGCCAGTTTTTATCCTTTTTTTTTTTTAGATCCATTGGCTGTGGCAGCCATCTTGATTCAGGCTGACGTCAAAAATTAATTAGTTGTAGATGTACATCCAATGATTATTTCCTGAAAGTATCATTCAAATCTGTCCCGGAGTTCATTGGATATTTTGTTTACAGACAGGCACATGGACAGAAACATTGTTCAATTAATAAATAAGATGTATTCCTTTGACATGAACTAAACTGGAAACCTAAATATGTTTAGTTTGATAAACTGTAGAACATGTAAAGCATTTACATATTCAGATATCTTTTTATTATAAAGTAATTAATTGAAAGGTCTGAAGGAGTGCTTTTTGTTTACGTTTAAAACTGTGACAAGAGTAGACTGGTTTCAAGCCTGAACTTATGATCACTTTCCTGTGTCCTGTCCTCAGACGTTTCAACTGAAGACGCGATGAAGAAGCTGGAGAAGCGAAACAATGAAAGCACGCTGAGCGACGCTCGAGCTCGCTACCTGCAGCGAAAGCAGCAAAGACAACAGAGTAAAACATCCTGACAGAAACGACTTTGTGGAAATGATTTGTACTCGGAAATAAAACTGTTTTTAATGTTCTTTTAAAAAAAGACATTCATGTCACTGTCACTGTCTGTGTTGCTGCAGTTTGTTTTGGGTATTCAGCAGGAAGAAACCAGTAGTTCCACAAGATTTAAGGTTTAGTTTTATTGATTCTTAATGAGTTTTAGCTTTTAATCAGATATATTTAAAATTGTGCCCTTGCTTTGTAGTTGATGTGAGATTAAGGTCACACTATAGTACTTYGTGTACTTTCACACCGACCGTTCAGGTACAGTGGACCCTCTGCTGCGTGACGTCACTTCCTATTGTTGCTGTTGTAGTGAGTGACAGAGACGGAGGGCTTCCAATGCTAAGCAGCGTCTAACCACATAAAGCAGAGGCGACTTGCTACATTTCCTGGAGCTTGAAATCGTCTTTAGTCGTCTATCCAACATTATTTTCCACCTCTGTGGAAGCTTCGTTTTCTGGTCTGRTTAATTCTGTAAAGCCCTTCACTGCAGAAACTGACCCAACGCCGCCGCCGCTTCTTGCTGCTGCGAGAGAAGAAAAACAAGCTCGGCGAGCGGTGTGCTAAGCTGTGTGATCATTGACAGAGTTCAATACACACAAGCTTCGAGTGATAARTGGTCGGAACGTTGTGCTTCGTGGCTCCGAGGTCCATTAAGAGACCACGGCTGGGAATATTTTTACCCCACAAGTCGAGGTAAGAACCCAAAAGAGTAATGAGAACTAGCGCAGGTGGCTAACGGAGATGCTAACTAGCTGTTAGCTTAAAATAGGTTTTGGCTTGTTGCCTTGTTTGATCTTAATGCTCTCGTGGTCAGTGTCCTCGATGCTGCCCCACGCGCCACTTGCCTTAGTTGCTTATCAGTTTGGGTATTGTTCAAAGTGTCCTAACCAATTGATTCGTCTCATACGACGATTAAACACGCTTTGGACTTTAAAGGTATTGTTTGTTGACTCTGTTAGCTTGCTACGACACTGCTACGGTGTGGCTGTGTTTACTGAAATACAGCAGGCTGCTGGTAAAGATGTCCCTAAATACAGAGTCATCATTTAAATTTAAAATATGTCTGTCATTAACGTAGTTATAAGGAAGCGCACTTTGGTCCATACTTTATTTATTCAGTGGAGATCTATTTATGGATTATTCGAAATTTATTATAGCACATGTAACAACCGGGATGAACCGTAATGCTTTAATTATAGGTTAGCTAAGCAGTGTTAATAAAAACATAATAAAATGACATGCAATAAGAATAATAATATAAAAATGAGCATAATAAAATAAATGTAGGATTTGAGTGAAATGTCCAAGAGAGAGGATGAGTCTTAGCAGAGATTTGAGGGTCTCCAGCAGTCTGAGCTGTGTGTGCTGAGGGGTAAACTAATGATTTAGGACAGTCACTGCAAATGCTTTGACTTGTGTTTCAATTAGGATCTTGAAACATCAGATGAACTGTCTGGTAGACCAGACTRTTCTCTATGATGTCTGCATGTTTAGAAGATCATGCTAAAGACATAAGCTGGGCCATTTCAACCTACAAGGTATTTTTGTTAAAAGATGAGCTGCTGATCCAGACCAACACAAAGAGCATAACCGTGATCTAACCGTGAAACCAAAAGTACTTTTTTTTTATCAAGTCTTTGACAGAGAATTATGTCTTCACTTTACCAATAACTTTGAGTTGGGGAGGAAATAAATGACTTTACAACCATGTTATTTTGTTTGTCCAGTTTTAAAAGAGTTCACAAAACTAAACTATTTAGAGAATTACCTTTTCCAAAGCATATGTTGTCTCTTTAATTTTTAGTGTTTAATTTTAATTAAAACAATTCAGTTAAATTTTTTAACCAGGGTTCAAATTCACTTTCAAAAGAGCTTTTACTTTTTAGACACACATTCCTGGATATCATCAATAAAAGAGTGGAAG